AGGAACCTGAACACCTGCAAGCTTGGTGGCTGACAGAGGCCGGCAGCTGAGATGATAGGCCTGTGGGAAGATGATAATAATTATGAAATTTTTCAAACAGTACCAGTGACCAGTGCTTTCTTTTCCACTGGGACTGAACTTTGACATCCAACTGGACATGAACACATGGCTTCAGCTCCAAAAAGGTATGCAACAGAGACAGGGAAGGCCCTGTGCTTTGGGGCTGGCCCTTTACAGGACACAACTCCTACCTGCATGGTGTTTGCAGGGTTGGTAACAGGATTTGGGGTTCAGAAAGTCAATATTAGAGCACAGGGCCAGCAGGTGGCAATCCATGCCAGAGGTGACCAGGAGGTTGCTGGCCAGAACAACACTTGGGGAAGCCAAGAACAGAACTGTTTCTGATTCCAGACATGGGTGGTGCTGCCTGGCACAGGCTGAGTGCCGAGATGGTGGCTGCTCCCTGGCCATTGTCCTTCTCAAGTTGGCTCCTGGTCCTGGGTTTTCTTAGGAGGAAAGAGGAATTGTGGGGTATTTGCAGTGGGACCCTGCTTTTCTCAGCAAAGACCCCTCTCTGCTTGTCATGAGGTCTCCCATCCAGTGGGCCCTTTGCCTTAGACAGACACAGCTTGGTCTGAGTTTGTGGCTGCAAAGTGGCCCACAGGTGACCCTGATAGAGGAGGTGGTGAGGCATATGTACTTTGCAGACAGCTGTCTCTGTGCCCAGGGGTCCCTTTGCCCTCCCCCAGCCTTGTCCCTGGGACCCCTACTCTGTAGCCACACAGCTGATGAGTATGGTCACAGAAGGGATGGTGCATGTGCAAGCCCCCATCATGCCAGAGGAGCATGCTGCTGGGGAACTAGGTAGATGCCTCCTTGAGCTGATGGCTGGAGGCTGCTGGGCACTGAAGGCCGAGAGAAAACTTAATCTGTGCATCTCAGCATCCAGGTATCCAACATGAGCTGCAGGCAAAGGGGCAGCACCAAGATGCAGACAGAGGGAGTCAGGCAAAAGCTTCAATGTGCATGCCAGGGCATGCAGGCTATGTGGGGCTAGGACAATATCAGTAGGAGTGACATGGTCAGGGGGAAATTTGAGTGATGTTAGGATTGGGGGAATGAGGCTGACATCCTCAGCATCCCTATGTTGGTTCAGGTACCTATCTCTTGTGTTTTCTCATTCATGTTCATCAGAAAGATGAGAATAATTAGTTAAGGTACTGGAGCTGGCAGCTCAAGCACCTCAAAGCCCCAAGCCTCACCCTTGCCCTTCTCAGTCCCAACTCCACTGGGGCACCTCGTCCAAGGAAAGCTCACTCAATGACTGATATAGTACAGCTAACCCTGTCCTTCCTAGAGACTTTGCTTAGATCAACTCAGACGGGAGGGAAGGGCAGGGTGGGCGAGGTGTGGCACCAGACACCCCTTTCCATAAACAACCTTAGCTTTGGGCTTTTGACAGGGTTGCTTGGCTGACTTAGCCTAGCCAGCTGCCTCCTGCCTCTGACTGGCCTGTGTCCTGGACCTTTATTTCCTGCCCAACTGGCTGTGGAAGTGACAGAAGGCCTGGGCCCTGTCCTTCAGGAGCATCCTATTCCGGTGTTTGGGGAAATGGTATCCCTGCCTCCCCACTCCCCATTTGGTTTCTCTTTTGTCATACAGCATCACCCTCAGTGCCCTAGGATGGCTGAGACGTTTGTGGGAGGACATATGGGACAGGTAGGAGCAGGGATGCTCAGGACTTTTATTCTTGGTGATGCTTTTTCTCTGCCCAAAACTACTGTGTATGGCCAGTGTGATAATTACAGACTGGGAATCTGGCCTACATATTCTTCCCTGGCTGTGCTCGTCCCTCCTCACCTTCAGGCTGCTGACTCTGCTTCCTCTGGTTGGAATCTCTCCACCATGAGTATTAATTCTGTTATCCCAGAGGCTCCAGTCGGAAGCCTTGCACCCACCGGACACACTCCTGTCTTGCCCATTTCCTCAAGAGCAGTGTTCTTGTCATCTCTGTGGTTTCAGTGTCTAGAATAGGACTTGACATCAGCATCAGGTAATCTTTGTTGACAGGACAAATAACGCTTGGATGGAGCTTGCTGTGACCAGACAACTGACCCATGAATCCAGTGTCTGCACTTCTCACCATGTAGACGGTGACACCAAGGCACAGGAGTTTAAGTAACATGCCTAAGGTTATCCAGCTAGCACTATGAAGCATGAGGCAGCTGGAATCTACACCAACACTAATAACTGGTTTTCTATGCTGCTTCTGTGGCTGATTCCAACTGAGGGACACCTGCTTGACTGGGCAATTCATCCCAGCTGATGAAGCCTGTTCTCCAAGCATGGCTTCCCACCCTTGTCCATGCTCCTGAATTTACACCGAACTTGAAGACTGGGTTTGGCAAAGTGTAGTGGTACACACCTAATCCTAGCATGCTGGAGGTGGAGGCTGGAGGATCAGGAGACCAGCCTGAGCTACATGAAATCCTGTCTCAAAAATAAAGTCCAAATCCTAAGAGTCCCCCAGATACAATACTCCTAATTCTCAGCACCAGGGAAGCACAGGCAGGAGGCTCATTATTGCAAACTGAAGGCCAGCCTGAGCCACAGGAGTTTCATGGCAGCCAGCATTATATAGTGAGGCTATCTCACAAAACCCACCCCACCCAACATGGTCATGTCAAACACAGTACATTTGGTTTCAGTGAATGTCCGAAGAATGATTGTTTTGGTAGGGTCCAAACAGGCAAACATACAACATCCAGAAGACCCTCGGATCACCTTCCTTCTGGCAAGGAAATAGGCTGACTCACTCAGACAAAGGGTGTGAGGCCTGATAGGGACTTCGGAGCTGGTCCTGAGCCAGAGTCAAATGTTGGCACTGTGCACACCTGCCCCAGACAGCCAGGTGACATGGTTTTCTGGCAAAAATCAGGCCAGGTACCTGTTCCTTGTCCTAGGAGCCCCTCCTGTCCAGGACCTGAGCAGGGCGGGTCTAGAACATAGCTGGCAGGTACCTGAGGCCCAGCAGGGCTTTTCTTGCCACCTGACAGTGGGAGGAGCATACTGCTCAAAGCCTCTTCTGCTGCAGATGGATGACATCCCACCCCACCCCTTCTGGCTCACGGAGCTGTTTAGTCAGGGAAGGTGGGGGATAAGAAGCTGACTACCCTTCTGCCAAGTACAGCTAACAAGTGGCAGCTTGCAGGCCGGGGGGGGGCGGGGGGGGGGGGAGGGCAGGCTGCGGTGACCCTGCTCGGGGACAGCCAATGAGCTCCCGGGCTGAGGTGGCACCACCAGACAGCCCGCCTGCCTTTGGCTGGCGCGGGGGGGGGGGGGGGAGGGGCCTGGGCCGCCACTCATGACTGGCGGCTCTGTCTCCGGGAGGCCGGGCAGATCTGCGGTTCACTCACCCAGAGCCTGAGGCCGCCTCAGTGTTAGCTTTTCCCACCTGCCTGGGAGAGGAGTCTGTGGTAGGGAAGCTGTGGATCAGAGATAGTAAGTCTCATTTGGGAATTTTTCCCATGTCCCAGATCAGGACTGGGCTCCAGTCGAGTGACAGGGAAAACAGAATGTGTCAAGGTGCAGTGGTCAGGTCCCCACCCAGGACTGATGTCTGGGACACCACATTCTACAGCCCCCACAGCTATCTGAACTCTACCCTTTGTCAGGAGGATCAGGAGATCCTGAGGTGCAGAGTGGATGCTGTCGATAGCAACTGGTGGGAGCTCCCTGCCTTATTCTCCAGCTCAATGCAGACCCACCACTGCCAATCACATAGTAAACATATTTATAGATGTACAATATCAGAGTTCTAATTCAAGAAATACAGCTTCTCAGGGGATCCTTTAGGATCTATGTTCTTATTGCACATGGCTCAGCCCCTCTAGGGACAGGTACCAAGACCAGACAGTTGGGGTGGTGGAGGCAGGGCACCAGGGCCCCTGTGGGTGAGGTACTCTGGCCTGTGTCCAGTTCTCATTCTCTCTCTAGGCCAGGGTGGCCTCTTTATTGCAGGATGGAACCTTGTTTTTTTTTTTTTAACTGACATTCCTAACCAAACTTCCTTTACCAGCAAGAATCCTATTTGTTAGGGGATGAATTAGAGAGAGAGAAACCCTGGGGGGACAGATGCCACCTCTGGGCTGGCAGCTCGGGGAAGTAAGGCTTTGGAAGACGGCAGGTGCAACGCCACGCCACATCCACCGCCACAGGAAAACTGGGAGAAATGGTGATTCTCAAAGGCCCATTATAATCATGGGAGTACATTAAAGCTCCCTGCTTCCCCTGGTAGCAATGGCTGTTTTGAGGCGATTCCTCATCTGAAGGGGAAAGCCATTGGTTGTCATGGATTCTTCATCCAGTGAGTAGAGCTAGTGGAGTCCGCTGTGGAGGAAAGACAAGATACCCACAAGTACAGGCTCTTCTTAACAAGTTGGCTACACTCAGGTCCTGGGTCAACTCCTGGATGAAGAGCCTTTTGGAGTCCTTGGTGCACAACTTAGAGAAAACCTGTTGGCAATGGTGGAGCTGTGCCCTGTGGCACCTGTAAGGCAAACCCACCTGGGAACTTGGGTGGGGAAGAGATATGGGTAGGGGACTGGCTGCAAGGCTACTGGGCACTAGGGTAAAGAGCCCACCTGAGGCTGGCCAACAAGGCAGCATGAGGAGCTGCCCTCTGAGTTCTCTACCATGGCTCAATACTGACCAGCTATCTATCTGCAGGGGTGCCTTTTTCTGTGCCCAGCCTGCTCCCCTACCTTAACAATAAGCCTGGAGACTTTTGGAAGTTTTCTATGGATTTATACCACCATGATTACTGTTGCCATCAAAGCCAGGCTGGGGCTAAGGGTGATGCTAAGAGCATCCGACTTGACTTTCCCTATGCTGTTAGCTTCGGCTATTGTCTGGCTTTTGAAAACCAGGCTGCCTTCCCAAACAGCCCTCATCTTCTAAGATATGGAAGAAATCAGCTGAACATCTTAACCCAATCCCTGCACAGTTAAAAAAGACTTTATATATATATATCTTTATATATGTCTATTTACATATAAATAGATATATATACATACGTATGCATTTCTAAGTTACATTCTCTGGAATTCTCTCTCCTCTATTCCTTGGCTCATGCCTCTGCCTGGCTTCTCCTGTGAGGTGACTGGTGCTGGCTCCTGGGAGGGGGAGGAGAGACAGTGGGGTGTCCCCTCCCCCAGTCCTTCCCCACAGACATTTGCTGCAAGTTTTACATTCTACTTTCGTTGCCATGGTTTCTGTATCCTAGGAGCCAGTGATGTGGAGCTTCTTGCCAGCCCTGGGAGGGGAGGAAGCAACCCTGCAGCAGGCTTTCTGTCCATCTTAAGAGCTTTCTGCATTCACTGGTTGAGAGAGGGCAGCTGTGCAGTGTTCAGCCTCCAGGTCCATTTTAATTTTTTTTCTGTGTATGTCTTTTCTTAAATATACAGTCCATCACCTTGGCTCAGTGTGTGTCACCAAAAATTCTCCAGGGATTTCATAGTCTGGGGAGGAAAGGGAGACAGTCAGGTGAACAGCTGTAGCAGGCACCTCCAGCTCAGCCCTACAGTCAAGCAGCTGGCCCTGCCCAAGCCTCTGCAGAGTGATGAGCTGCCCCAGAGCTGATAGTAGCTATGAGTGGCCTTGGAGCAGTCTGCAGCTGGCTCTGTGTCAGGGGATACAGGCAAAGGAGGGGGTAGGCAGGGTACCTATGCAAAGAACTTCTGGCTCTGCCCACACTCCCCTGGGCTTGAGCCAGGCTACCGGATCTGCCCACTGGGGCAGGGGAAGGGGTGGGGTGCCTGTTAATAGCAACTTTCATTTTTCCCCACCCCTCCTGTGCTTGGTGGCTGCTTTTGACCCTGAACTTGTGACCTTTTGTTCCTTTCTTCAAGACCACAGGAGAGATGCCTGGGAGGGGCTGGATGCTCAAGGCTCCCAGTCCCAGGTGCAGAGCACAGGAGGGCCTTAGACCTCACCAGAGGGAGTGGTAGGGGGCACAGACCTCTCCTATGTGCTGATGGGCTGCTTTATCTTTCTCCGTTTCCTCCTGCTTAGAAGGCTAAAGGACGATGGGTTCCTGCCTACTTACCCCCCATGGATTCCATTTTCAGCAGGGGTACTGTATGTGAGGGGCTGTTTTAGACTCAGTAATATGTGATGGCACAGGCAATAAAAGCTAGGCTTGGCAAAGGGCTGAGGTGGCTTGGTTGTTGGAGTAGGTAAAGGAACCACAAGGTTCCCATTCTGCCTGCCTTTTGTGTACCCTGTCTTGGGACCCTGAAGAGGGTAAGGGAGAACAGGGTCAATTAATAGGGCAGGATAACTGGAGGGCTGCCACAGGCCTGTTTTCCGAAATCCCAGTGCTGCCTGATCTCTGGAGGAGGTTGGAAGTGTCAGAATGTGAAGAGAGTTTCTGCCATCATTACCAGGCTCCCTCTGTCCCTCCCTCCCTCCTTAGCTCATGACCAAGGCCAAGGCTGCCAGGAGTTGCAGCAAAGAAGCAGTCCTGGCTCATACTTGGACCTGGGTGGTGTGGCTGGCCCAGAACTATCCATGCAGGGAGGCCTGCACCTCTGACAGCCGACTGCAGCTCGGGGTGCCCATCTTCTGTGCTCTGTGGTACATGTCTGTGTCACCAAAGTAGCGGGCCCGGTACAGCAAGCCTTCCTCTGCAAAGAAACAGGGCAAGGTCAGGGCTCAAGGACCTCCTGGGGTTTACCTACCTACCTGAGCCCATGGTGAACCAGGAAGACAGGACCATGAGCTTGGGCAGGGCTGGCCTCCCAGTGGGGGAGAACGGAGAAGCAGAACTGAGCTCCCCCTTAGGAAGAGAAGAGACAGAGGCACTTTCCCACACAATATGGGAAAGGCCAGCCAAGGAGAGAACCTACTATTCTAGTGTCCTACAGATAGACTGGATACATGGCCAAAGGTTTCCAATCTGTTTCTTACACACTCACCTCTAACAACTACAGTGACAGGCACCAATGACTCATGAGGACCTCAGTGAAATCAAATGGCCCTGGGTTTGCAGCCCTGGGGAACCCAGGAGTGGAGCTCAAGTCTTGGCAGTGAGGTGGTTGGCACAGGGCAATGCCAGGTATTGGGCAGCATTGAGTAGGGTTTTTCTGGTCTCAAGCATGGTTCCTGGCTACCCTTCTCCAATTACCCCTTCCCTCCTATGCTTGAAAACACACACATGTATCACGGGTACACACACTTGTGCACACACACATACATATCAGTGCACATACATGCACACACACACACACACACACACACACACACACACACACACACACGAACATGCATGTGTATACTCACTCTGTTGCTTTTCTTTCCAGCAGTTGTTTCGGAGGTTGGCGATATAGTCATCTTCCACATTCCGTTCAACTGTTTTGAGGCTGGATCCTGTGTATTCCTCAGAGAAGGTGTCTGCCACATAGTACACGACGCTCAGGTGGTCAGTGACTCGCTTGTGGACATGGCCCACCGACCTGTCCAGAAACACACCAGGCACAAAGTGGGCAGCTGAAAGGGTGATGGCTCAGTGCCAGGAAGGGTCACACAAGCCACAAAATAGCTGGCTCCCTCCCACATTGCAGCAGTAACTTGCTGGCTCCCCCCAAATGAAGGTCTGCAGTGAAGGCAGAGTACCCTGCTTCCCTGCACAAACAGTCTAGCCTATGGCAAACCACACCTTTAGGAGCTCTGCTGAGAACTGGCTCATGCGGGGAGAAGCCCTTTCTGAGGACAGGAGCTGGTCTGGGAAGTTGGTCTTGGTGGGATGAGGGCTCTACCCTCCATGCCTCTAAGATCACGGATGCCCAGGGCCTGCGTAGAGTCCTGAGCCTCAGGTCAAAATGAGAGGACAGAGCTATGTCTCTAAATGGTGTGTTAGAATGAGTTAGGAGTTCATTCTTAACTCCACAAGAAAAACCAAAAAGGAACAAAGCTTCAGGAAGAAGCTGTAGCCACAGGATCTGCAGGCAGCAAGAGAAGCCATGACACCCAACAGGAGTCCCAGTCTGGGGAGGGCAGCCCCAGCACACAGCATTCTTCATCTGTCTGTAGCTGCTGTGCATTCGGCTCCAGGCAAGCAGGGTTGCGGTAGGAGCAGAGGCCAACTCTGCTCCCTGCTGGCTGAGGGAGCCTGCTGGGGCCTCAGGCAGTAGATAGGCCAAGGGATTGGAGCTATGTATGGGCTTGCATCAGCAGAAGCTGAGAACCTACTGTTCCCAAGTACTGGGAAAAGAGACGCACTGACACCTAACTCACCCAAGTTAACCATTGGCAGCTGAGATGAGTATCTATCCACTCAATAAATATTGCTGAGCATTTACAATGAGCTAGACATCTCATGTGTTACTCATTAATTCCCAAAGTAGGTGGATGCTATTGTTCCCATTTCACAGATGACCCAACTGAGGTTATACGACTTATCTGGGGTCATAGCTCTCAACACAGAAACTAGAATGTAAAACGACCTCCCCTCCCCTGCTTCAAACAGATAGATAGTAAGAGCAGAGGACCCCTCAGGGTCAGCAAAGGTGGGGACGGTGGTGCAGAGGCACGTTTCTAAAGTCACATCACGCAGGACTGCATGTTGCCTCAAGGAGAGGGCTGGAACTTCTTCGGAGTTTTCTGAGGGGCCATGATCCCCAAAAGTCTAAGGGGCTTGTCTGAGAGACAGCATGCTTCTTGACTTGAGCTAGCCTTCTCTATTATGCCTGGGTACCGCTAGATAAGGATGGGAAGGCAGCCCTCTAGTGCTGGGCTAGCCCAGGGGCATGTACTCACGGTCTCGGGCTCAGACTGTAGGGTGGGCTGGACACCATGAGCTGGCTGAGTGCTGACACAAGGATAAGAATGAGGATGGGCATCAGCTGGACAAATACTCCTAGCCCGCCCTGAAGAAAAGAAGCCCACAGTCAGAGATCCCTAACATAATGGCACCTGGGTGACTGTGACACCCTCCTTTTCTTCCCCCAGAACAGAAGTTCCTCTGCTTGACAGTTGTTCCAGAAAAAGACAAAGCAACTAGTGGAGAGCACAAGGGTTGGTTTGGAGCTTTTCCAGTACACACAAGGCTTTGGGTTTGATTCTTAGAACAAAAACAAGACAACTAGAAATAAATTCATTAGACAGTAATTTGATTTTTTTTAAAACCTCTTCTGGGATCTGGGTGTTGGTGGCACATGCCTTTAATCTCAGCACTTGGGAAGCAGAGGCAGGCGGATCTTTGTGAGTTTGAAGTCAGCCTGGTCTACAGAGCTAGTTCCAGAACAGGCTCCAAAGCAATACTGAGAAACTCTGCCTCGAAAAACCAAAACAAACAAAAACAAAAACCTCTGCTGGGGGCTAGAGAGATGGCTCAGAGATTAAGAGCACTGACTACCCTTCCAGAGGACCCAGGTTCAATTCCCTGCATCCATATGGCAGCTCACAAATGTCTGTAACAGTTCCAGGGGATCCGACACCCTCACAGACATACATACAGATGGATCCCCAATGTACATAAAATAAAAAATAAATAATGAAAACCCTTCTCTGTATGTTAGATATAAAGAAATGCCTATAATCTTTAGCACTCTAGAGGCAAAGACAGAAGAACAGTTGAAAGTTGGAGCCCCAGACCAGCCATGGGTTACATAGCAAAATTCTACCTCAACCAAAAACAGTGAGTATGGTGGCATACCACAGGCCTTTAATCCCAGCACTCAGACTGCAGAGGCAGGTGCATCTCTCCAGATGAGCAGTCTACATACAAGTTCTAGGCCAGCCAGAGAGACACAGTGAGACTGTCTCAAAAACCAAAACCAAACTAAAAACAAGCCCACCCCCAACAAAACAGATATGTTAGGCATGGTACCTCAAGCTTAACCCCAGTATTTGTGAGGTGGAGACAGGGAAATCAGGAGTCCCAGGTTGTTTTCAACTGCATAGAGTCCAAGGAGAGAGGGGGAAAGAGAGGAGGAGGCAGGAAGGAGAAGGGAGTGAAAGGAAGAGAGTGAGGGGAGGGAGGAGCACACACAAGTGTGTGTCCCTCTGTTTAATGCTCTTCACTGTTGATGCTGATGGCAATGCTTGGGTCTCAGCCATGGGGCTGTTGATCCATGGCATCCCAAATGTGTCTGAAACACTGCCTAGTTATAAAGCTTTTACTTTTTAGAAGGCTGAGTACCCACACAGGCCTTTTTATTCTCTCATGATGTTTTAACTCTCCATTGCTCAGAAAATGTTACCCCAGTCTTAAGAACAGATGGACTTGACAAAAATTATTCACACTAGAAGCTGCCTGGAAGTGGAGAATTTTCCGGCTTATACTCCCCATTAGAAGTCAAAGTATTATGCAACATGGAGTGTGGCTCCCTCTGGTGTCCTATAGCAGAATGGCACTGAGAAGGAGCAAAGATGGTTCCTAGGTTCAGAGTACATGAAGTGGATCAAGACCCCCCCCTTCTTTAGGGCTATGCCCCAAGGAAGGCCTGGTGTGCCCCTTAGTTCCTTGTCACTCACGTCACCCTGGTTCTCCCTGCGGTCCTGCCTCTGCTGGTAGGTGTATCGCATTCGACCATTGCTGTAGACATGGACGTTACCTGAAATGTGGAAGTTCAGAGTCAGGGGCTACCGCTTTCAGACCCCACTGTCACCCCCAGGGGGTCCTGCTTGTGGACTTACTGGAAGGAAAGCCACCACCAAAGAACATGTTAAAGAGGTCTTCGGGGGAGATATCAGCTTCAAAGCCTCGGTGGAAGTCCCCGTGGCTGTGGCCGTGTCGGGCGGCCTGATTCTTGTCGTCACCAAACTGGTCGTACTGTTTCCGTTTCTCTGGGTTACTGAGTACGGCATATGCCGTGCCGATGGCTAGAAGGGGTGAAAAGATCAGGTCTTAGGAGGCTAGGTGCAAGTTGGCCAACAGATTGCTTCCTTCAGGTCTCAGGACACGTGTGTGTGTGTGTGTGTGTGTGTGTGTGTGTGTGTGTGTGTGTGTGAGAGAGAGAGAGAGAGAGAGAGAGAGAGAGAGAGAGTAAGAGAGAGAAGAGAGAGAGAGAGTGAGTGAATGCATTAGAGAGCAGGTCTGCAGTATGGGCTGTGAGGAACATTAACCCTCAGGCTAGCTTTTTTTTTTTTTTTTTTTTTTTGAGCCAGGGTCCCCAATCTATCACCTACTAGACTGCCAGGAACTTACTAAGTAGCCCAGGTTGCCCTCCAATTCTTTATCCCCGTGTGCCTCTATTGCCTCTATGCTGGGGTTGTAGGCATTCTCTCACGATGCACACTCATCTGTGGGGTGCCTGAGACAGGGTAATGCAATCCTGAAGTCATAGTATGACCCAACATAATGCACAGGAGGCCCTTTGTCATAAACAGGGGAACAGCAGACTGTGCTGGGAAGGGACAACTCCCTGGTTTCTGGTGGAGACTCTTGTGCATCTGCTTGTGGTGGCCGGGATGAATGAGTTTGCTCTCCCCAGGGCCCAGGCCACAGCTGCTGTTTTTTTGCTTGGCACTGGCGGGCCTTACCAAAACTCCCAGGGCAGAAGGCTAGTGCCTCCCAGGGCCCTCTCCCCTCTGCTCCCCTCCACACCCCCCCAACTGCCCCCTACACATAGCAGTGGGCTATAGGTTTCTTTCAGAGCCTGTGGCCTTTGGAGGGAGGCCAGAATCCTTTCCCATTTGACAAGGCTATATCACTGTCCCAGGCTTCCTCCTTAACTATAGCTTTGACCCAGTACTGCACAGCAAGGCTCACAGTCACCACATTAACCCCCAAAGGGAACAATACCCAGGGACCAAGAAAATGCAAGGCCCTGCAACACTGGGCTGGCACAGAGGCAGTGCACAAGTGCCAGAGAGGAGGGAAGACGAAAACCTCCATGTATAAAGGGTGGCTTATGGTTTTGGCCGGAGGTGACACAACCCATTCCAATGATCAACAGGCTCTGGGGTCAGAAGATGATCTGTCCCAGTCCAGGACAGGTTGTGGGAAGCTGACACTGACAAGTGTCCTGAAGAAGCCCTCCATTACAGGGTGCTCTGCCCCTCAATACGGGGAAACTCCTGCCAGATGTGTGAGTCAGAAGTCTCTCCTGCCCCAGGTGCTCTGGAGGAATCATTTGAACTCTGCCCTACTGGAACTCAGAAAATGAAGGAAGGCAGGGCTGGCACTATGTGAGACTCTGCAGTCTATAAGGCTAGAGGTAGCCACTGGAACCTTCTCAGGGAGCGGTTCCTGGCTTGCACAACTAACAAAAAAAAAAAAAAAAAGACAAACAAACAAACAAACAAAAAACAACCCCAGGCATGCCAGGCTGGCTTACCTTTGAAAGCTTCAGTGGCACCGGGCGCATGGTTCTTGTCTGGATGGAACTTGAGGGCCAGTTTGCGGTAGGCCTTCTTCAGGTCCTCGTCCGAGGCACTTCTGCTCACCCCTAGGATCTCATAGTAATCTTTACACTGTTTGACCCTGGAACAAGAAGAATGTGACAGGGAGCCTGAGGTGAGGTGTGGGAACAAGATGTGACACATAGCTCATGGCAGGTGTTGGGGGCCAGAGCTGGGCCAGCTGTCTGCCTCGAAGGGCAAGGGAGCTACAGGGAGCTCCTTGGTGTGGGGAACTGGGCAGGGCCTTCTGGCAACACCATGAATACACTAATGATTTGACAGGGCAGCTGCTGTCTTTGGCCAGGCCAGCATCGTTCCCTCTAGGGGTTCTCTTCCTGGAAGCCACTTTGGAAGGACCAGAGTGTCTGTCAGCCAGGAGCAGATGCATCTTGCTGAAAACAATGGTAGACGTCTGCTCACCCCGAGCACAGAACCCTGAAGAAATGCTGCTTCTGTTGCAATACGCCTCCCTCCCTGGCCCTTGGAGGGCTGGCCCACCCTTGTCGGTGTTCTCCAGGCTCTCTAATCCTAGGAGTCTGCTTCTGTCAGGTATAGTTGGTAGATGCACCTGGATGGAACTGCCTGGTTTTGATAAACCACTTAGTCACACTCACGCATACTCAGCTTGTCTGCCAGGAGGTGAGAACTTGACTTCAGAAGGATTCTGAGGCTAGCTAGTAGGAGAAAGGAGGGTTGGGAAGGCTTAGTCCTGAGTGGTCCTGGCTGGTAGTGTCAGGCCCAGGAGTGCTTCCTTCCATAGGGCTGTTTGTCTTGGTGGCATAGCTCTGCCTTTGCCTCCTGCCCACAGGCTCTGGTCTAAAAAGGTCTTTGTTGGGGTTGGGGGTAGACTCTGGAGGGCAAGATGGTGGTGTGTTTGTGTGACAAACAGATCTGTGGGAGGCTTAGGGCTGGTGGCCAAGGGCAGAGAAAGGCAATGTCTCCAGTTTGTATGGTCAGTGGTTATGGGGGTGGGTGGGCAGTGGGGCCCTGGCTCACACCCTGTGGGAAAAGAAGCTGAACCTCTTCCATCTTCCAAGACTCTTCCAGGCCACAGGGTGAAGTGAGGAAGTCTTTCCCAGCTCTCCCCAGTCCCTACCACCCCAGGACCTCTTACCTTTTCACAGCTGCCACCTGCTCCGAGGTGTAGCCCTTGGCGCTTTCTCCTCCGCCTGCCTCGCCATTGGCTGAGGGGGTTTCGGTCCCGCCTGCCTTCCTGTGGGTGGTGTGGGATGTATCTGTGGGTTGGGGTTGATCGCTGGCAGACTGTGGTTTTTGGTTGAGGGACTCGATCAGTTCTGTGAAGGAGAAAGAAGCCACTGAGGGGTCACTGGGCAGGCCTGTCTACTGAGGCCGATCCCTGTGTCCCACTCACCACCCTTCCAGAAAGACCACTGGTCTCCTGACTTGGGCCTGTTCTTTTAGGAGCCCCAGTTCTCAGGAACAGAAATATTATAGATTAAAAAATATTAGCAATATTAATTTTATTAACAGATCCATGTGTTTCATAACTAAAGTAATTGCCTTCATTATATTCTGATATTAGTGTTTACATATGCATTCATTTTCTTTCTTAATAAGTTATACAATGTTTGCTAACATGCCCAAAACCCCAGTACTACTACATACACTGTCATGGTGGCACACACTTTAACCTGTTTGTTCTTAAAACTTGGCCCTGAGGTTGCCCTCAACTACATTGGGAGTCTGAGGTCAGGATAAAGGAAGAGGCAACCGGGTTTCTCCAAGTTAAGGCTAGCCTGATGAAAATGGTGAGTTCTAGGCCAGCCAGGCCCATAGTGAGACTCCATTAAAGCAAACAAACAATAGTCCCAAGAAACCCCACATCCACATTAGAAAACAAGTGGCCTGGGTGAGATAGTCTCAGCAGGAAAATGAGCTGGAAGCCAAGCCTAAGGACCTGAGATGGATCCCCAGAGCCTAAATAGGAGGAGAACCAACTTCTAAAGGCTGCCCTCTCATGTCCTCACCTCATGCAAATCACACACACACACACACACACACACACACACACACACACACACTGAATGAGAGACAGACAGACAAACAGAAGAGAAGGAGGAGAGGACTGGAGTGCAAGCCCATAGTGGGGCATGGTAGCATATGCTTTTCATCCCAGTAATCTGTGAGTTCCAGGACAACCAGAGATACTCAGTAAGACCCTTCTTTTATTTGGGTTGTTGTTTTTTGTTTTTCGAGACAGGGTTATGCCCTGGCTGTCCTGGAACGCACTTCGTAGGCCAGGTTGGCCTCAAACTCACAGAGATCTGCCTGCTTCTGCCTCCTGAGTGCTGGGATTAAAGGCATGCACCACCACCACCTGGCAAAGTCCTCATTCTTATTCGGCCAGCACTTCACAGACTTAGTACTTACCCTCCAGCTCTCTATCTTAACCTCTGTGAAGTGTAGAATTTAGGGCATAGGCTATTTTATTTTTTGGACATTTTGTACCTCAGGCTGGTGTGAACATCCTGGTTCTTCACTTCTGCCTAAAACAGACTGAAAGCATGAGCTACCTCCCTTGGATCCATTTCAAATCCACTTTCTTCTTTGCAGCCCTGGGGACAAACATGGGCCTCACACATGCTGAGCAACACTCAGCCCACTCTATTTTTAATTGTAATTTTTTAAATGCGTATTGGTGGTGCTGTGGACTGAATCCAGGACACTGATCATGCTAGGCAAATGTTTCAAAATGTAGCCATTCCCTCTTCACTACCGTTATAGTTTTTTTCCCTCCCTCCCTCCTTCCCTTCCTTCCTGCCTCCCTCCCTTACTTCCCCCTATGCCCCTCTCTTTTAGCAGGGTCTAATGTAGGCCAGGCTAGCATCCAGTCCTCTATGTAGTTGAGAATAAACTTCCTGTGTACTGGGATTACAGGTGTGTGCCACCAAGCCACAATTATTATTGCTTATACACATTTATTTCATGTGTACAGGTGTTTGCCTGCACATGTCTGTGTACCATGTGAATTCCTGGTGCCCACAGATCCACTGGGACTGGAGTTACAGAGACTTTAGAGCCATGGGAATTGAACCTGGGTCCTCTCCAAGAGCAGCCAATGCTCTTAACTGCTGAGTCATCTCTCCAGCCCTATTATTATATTTTTAAACAGCTGGTTGTAGTGAGATAGTTCTGTGGCACTGACCTAAATCTTTTCTTTAGACTAAAAGGGGAATTGTAGTGAGATAGTTCTGTGGCACTGACCACGCCCATTGGGGGGTGGAACCATGGGCGGAGTGACCTGTGGAAGGTCGGAGGGGGCCAGGAAAGGCGCTCTCTTTCTGGTGTGACTAGGACAGGAGAGGATCGGGTTGAATTTCCTGGTGTTCATCTGTCTAGGTTGTAAGTTATTTCTCCCTGAATAAACATCTATTCTGCCTATTTGTTTATCCTGATCCTTATTTACCGCGATAGCTGGTCATGTCAAATCATCTACTTCATTGGGGTCTATATGAGATGTCACCTTAAAATGGGGCCATGTTTATTCAAACCCAAGCTTTTTGGTCCTTCTAACCCAGCATCCTCAAACCCTAGCAAAAGCTGAGTCATCAGAGGTTGCAGTGTCCAAAGCTCTTGACAGGCTCCTGGGAAAATAACGTACCTAGATCCTTGTTGGGACCCAGGGTACCTGTGGCCCAGGGAAAAGGGGTGCACAACTCACACCGGAGTTCTTCCTGGTTTCAGGTGTTATAGCACTGCACTGGGTGCCAGACACCTTCCACCACTATATACCTAGGTCATACCCAAGGCTCACTGGGAACTGAGAACTGGGTTTTGGTGGACCACAGCACTCCAGCCATGGCTGTCTCAGTGCACAAAACTTAATCCATCTCCCTGGGATTGACTGGGAAATTCAAACAGAGGAGCTGACAGCACAGTTAATGGGCATACAGAGAGTGGAGGTTTTGACTGAGCTTGAGGAATCAGTAGCTGGGTATAGTGGAGTGCACCCTTAATCCTAGCACCCCCCATTTATGACATAAGATTTCCTCTCTGTGGAACTGTCTTGGAACTTGCTCTGTAGACTAGGCTGGCCTTGAACTCAGAGATCTGCCTACCTTCACCTCCCAAGTGTTGGGATTAAAGGCGTGTAGCTCTACTACCTAGACATAATCTAGTTCTTGAATGCTGATGCAGGATTTTGAATTGGATGCCAGCCTTGGCTACATAGAGTTTGGGCTACAGGGTAGGACTCTGTCGCAAACAAACAAGATTAGAGCAATCATCTTTTTTCTTGTTTTGGAGGCAGTAATCTTGCTATGTAGTTGAGATTGGCCCTCAAATTATGATCCTCCCAAATGCTGAGATCATAGGTGTGTGCCAACAAAGCTGACTTGTAACAGCCATTTCTGTTCCTCACCACCACATGGTCTATAAAAATTAGCTCATTTAATCATCACAACAACCTCAGAAGGGAGGTGGCATCACACACTGCCACTCCCCTCAGGGGGAAGGTGCTGTGACCGAGGTGCACAGGTCCCCACTCTAACTCTGAGGCTATTCCCGGCTATGTCTCTGGAGGGATGAACTCCAGATGTTATGTTCACAGAGATGAGATTCAATTTGCAATTCAGCCTCTGGCTGACCCTTGACACTTACTGGCACCTTGGCTTCCTCAGTGATGGCATCAGGAAGAAATAAGATAACATGTGCATGTGGTCTGGAGACTGGCATTGGCATGACATCAGGGTCAAAATATCACAACCTGGGTGACCAACTGGTCAGAGGAGCAGCTGGCTGGGGAGGGGAGGAAAGCTATGGCTTGGGGCCAGGGGTGGCTAGAGTGGCTCAGGCCAAGAGCAGTGCCACAAGACACCAGGCAGTCATCCAGGTAAAGCAAGAAACCAAAAGACAAAATGGGGCTGGTCTTGAAGGAGGAAGAAGGAGCTGGTTTTGAACCATGGTGTCTGTTTTGATCTCTCTGGAAGTTGTCTGTGGTTCAGGCTCCTAGGGTGGGGGTGGGGCACCCTCACTAGTGATCCAATCAACACAGCTGCATAAGTACTCCTCAGCAAAGACTCTGGAAGCTTTCTAGGCAGTTCCACTGGCCATTCGCTCTCAACCCTGCAGAATCAAACAGGGTGTGGCTATGTATACTCAGCATCACCCAGAAGGCTCCAGAATGAGTTGAAAACATAAGACTTCTGGTCAGCGGCAAGCTGCTCTCTCTACTGGTCTGAATATTGTCAACAGGCCTGCAGCATGTGATAGTCTCTCTTGACTCATCATTACATCCCATGTGACACAGTGGCTGATAGACAATGTACAATGACACAAAAGAGTTAGGTACCAGGTCAGCTTAATGTTAACCTTAGCTTTGGATGAGCCTAGATCAGTGAACCATGAAGGTGTGAACCATGGTCTGCTACTTGGGATGTACACATGAAGACTGCTAAAGCCCAGGGGTTTGACAGACACCAGACTGGCCACTGAGGGCAGATGCTGTGGTTTCAACATTAATTCATTAAAAAAAAAAAAAAAAAAAAAAAAAAATCTAATAACCAGTCAAACAAAGAGCCCAGTATGGTGGCTCACACCTTTAATCCTAGCACTTGGGAGGCAAAGACAGGCAGATCTTTGTGAGTTCGAGTCTAGCCTGGCCTACAAATAAAGTTCCAGGACGAGGGATATATAGAAAGACTGTCTCAAAGATAAAACCCAAAACAAACAAAAAAGGAAACCAGTAAGAAAAGGCTACAGGGCAACTGAGGAAGGTTTACAGCTGTCAAGACCTCTTGCCTTTCCTTCATGCAGGGTTCTGGCTCCACATGGGCCTAGACTCAGCCAAGGCCACTTGCTAGCAGTCTTCTTGGAGAAATTAACCCAGCTTTTTAGGCATTTCCCTCCTAAGAGCTGTGTGAGAAGGTGGACAGGGCTTAGCATGTGGCTAGCAATTGCCACAAGTAACCTGTTTTGCCTCTTGCCTCTTTTATTGTTAGCCATGTAGCTGAGTGTCTGTGGCACTCAAAATGAGTGAAGGGAAAGGCTCAGAATGGGGACAGAGCCTGGGGTCAGAGACAGAGAATACTGGGGCCCTAGGCATCCAGCAGCATGCACTTACCACCATAGCTAATTTCTTGACCCCTACCCCTGGCTGCTTGGAGGAACAAATAAAATTCAATGAGATAGAGAGAATGCAAGGACTGGAAAATCACAAAGATGGACTGACTTAAATGGACAACTCCACTCTGCATCCTCCTGGTATTACAATTCTCTCTCCCAAATCCCCTGGTAACCAAGACTCCCCACTCTCCCATGGTCTTGCCAGGGTGGCCTTTATGACTTTGCCCAGACCTCACAGTGAGCCATTTCATAGAAGCTTGGGTAATAGGAACTGTAGGTACCTCATCCAGGGAACTCTCTCTTTGCTAGGGAAACTGAAGTCTAATTATATTCTCAAGGCCTCCCTGCAAAATCTGCTTTTTTTTTTTTTTTTTTTTTTTTTTTTTGAGACGGATTCTCACTATGTAGGCCAAGCTGGCCTGGAATGGAAGATCCTCTTGTCTCCTTTTGGCCTCCCAGTGCTGTATTACAGATGTATGCCACGGTGTCCCCTCCATGCCCAATTCTTTCAAACACTTCACTAAGTATCAGGGGAAGCCAGTTACCGTCAGGTCAACAGATGCTGGTAGAATACCCCAGAAAAAAAGTTGGACATAGGTGATGCACACCTTTGAACCCAGTACTTGGGAGGCAGAGAGGCAGCCAGATCTCTTTGAATTTCAGGTCAGCCGGGTCTACAAAGTGAGTTCCAGGCCAGCCTTTTAAATGAGACCTTTTTTAAAAAAGAAACTTCCAGAAAAAGACAATGGCTGCTTCACTTCTGTTGTGGCCTCCCAGCAGTCCTACAATGTGTTGTCTGATCATGTTGACTCCTGTCCTGACCCTACATTACGAGTTGCAAGCCCCTCTTCTCCTTTCCATGGTGAAAGCTAACACAGGAGAGTCTTCAATTCTTGTTTGAGCCCCTTAGCTGACTCCTCCCTTCTCCCATCCTTTACCTCAGAGACCAACGTCTCTACTTTGGCCCTCCATCCTTTCCCTTCTAGTCTTTATTTGTCCCTTTCCCCCCAATGGCCTCTGCAGCAGCTGGCAACTCCATGACTCCATGGCTACCGCCTCTGTCATCTCCCAGGACTACGCTCCTGTTGCTGTTTCATCTCTCTTGCATTGGCTAAGGGCAGGCATGGTGTATGGTTGTCCACCAGGCAACGGCTTCTCTGTGATCTCTGCTTTCCCACAGTGACCTCAGCTGTGCCAAAAGAGGGTCAAAAAACTGGTGACAGTAGTCTTTAAATTGGAGCCTGGTGCTTTCTCCTGGGTTCTAGACTGGTGGCTCCCCAAGAATGTACCACTGGTGATTCCCACTCTGCCCATCTCTTTTAGTTTTTTTTTTTTTTGGCCTGAATCTTTTCAGGTCACAAAATTGACCCCAACTCCCCAGCAACTATCTCTGCACCTCATCATCACACGGTGGCTCTTCATTTCTGTATCCCTCCTTATGTCATCATGTCCAAACCTATTTGGTGCCATTGATCTGTTAGGTGTTTCTCATTCTCTCCCTTCTGCCCTCCCCTTGGGAGATAGAATCTCACTGTGATATAGTTTAGCGTGGCCTTAATCTACTGCCTCAGTGTCCTCACTGCCAAGATTATAGGCATGTACTACCTACCACACCTAGCCAAATTCAGTCTCTTCTTGCCCAGGCTGCCTTTGTTATGCCTGGTACTCTACCTTGCAAGTGTATGCACAGGTACAATGGACTCAGCTGCCTCTCACGACAAAGTAAAAACCCTCTCTAGCTTCCTCTATAGCATGAAAAACCTTGGTCTGGCAGGAAAGGAGTGCAACAGTCTGGGCTCATTCTACTTTCTAACTTGAATTCTCTATTTAAATTCCTACTTCACTTGCCTCTAAATGTCCCTGTACAAGATCCCTGCCCAAACCTTTTCAAACTTTTGGCCTCCAGGTCTTTACTTATCTCTTCCAACAAATTGATGTTTGAATGTTGGCTCTTTTTTCCCCCCCTTCGAGACAGGATTTCTCTGTGTAGCCCTGACTGTCCTAGAACTCACTCTGTAGACCAGGCTGGCCTCAGGCTCAGAGATTTGTCTGCCTCTGCCTCCCTAGTGCTGGGATTAAAGAGTGCACACCACTGCCCGGCTATGGTTGTTGCTTCATTTCTTACTGCCTGCAGCCCTTCTCTTGGTAAGATAACATTATTTGTATGCCCTCATTACAGGGCTGTATGCCCTCATTACAGGGCTCCCAACATCTTATAATGGTTGGAGATTATCCTCACACTCTCCTGTCCCCAAGACTGTGAACTCACAAGTGGTAGGAACTAGACTTTTTTCATAACTACCCTTAAACTCTCAGCACCAAAACAACCAACTGTGTCTATTTTCTGTTAAATCACTGTTATCACCTGCCTTACAATCTTTTTTTCCTATGGATGTTTGCTTCCTTTAGGATCTTGCCAATCCTGCTGAACCACTTGGCATTAAGCAGTGAACTTTGCAGGCCAAAAAAAAAAAAAAAGACAAGATCTTGCTATATAGCCCAGTTGACATCAAACTTAGGCAATTCTCTTGCCACAGCCTCCTGAGCTCAGGGATCACAGGCATGGGCCATCATATCTGTAACAACCTGTTGCGTTGAATGATTACCTGGATGAACTCCTATCCAAAACATTCAGTGTAGACAGCCACCTAATATTTTTTAACCAACATTTCCCTGGCCCAGGCCTATACTAGCCTTACATCACTGTCAGTTCATGCACATGAGGCATATATTCTATCCAGCAAAAAAACATAACAAATATCCAACTGGTGGACAGTGAAGGTACTTACTGCCAAGCCCAACTATCCAAGTTGCATCCCTGGGACCCACAAGATGGAAGGACACAACTGACTCTGACTTCTAAGTTATTTTCGACTTCCCAAGAGTGAGTGAAACACAAACACAAACACACACACACACACAGTTCCTGAACTAGCACAGGTGGTTTCTGCCATGCCCTACAGGCCATATTTCTTCAGGTTTCTCAACTGCTCCTTAGCTCCCAAGAGCAATCAGATGGAATTCTGACAGTTTGCACCCACCATGCTCTCCATTTATAAAGGAATTATTCCAAAGGGGAGCACATTCAGCAAGTTACTGAGGTAAATACCGACTGAAACCCTCTCCTAGAGGAGGCAAATGGTCAAAGATCAACCTGCTGAGTGAGGAGAGAGGAAAGTTCAGGAATCTGGTGGCCTCGGCCAGCACTCCTTTCTCAATTTCCAAGCGTGGGCAGGGAAGGTGAGGGACAGGCTTTGGCTCTTCGTTTCATTTTAATAAGCATTTACAGAGTCTCAGGGCTTTCCAACTCCTAGTTGTGTCATATCCTGAGTCCCTTATCGTCGAGCGATTTCTCATCTCCAGAAGATAAAAGGACAGTGCTCTCTGTCTGGGGAAGTACTTTCTACACTGAAAAGCTCTATGGGCATTCTTGGTATATACATTATCTGGTCCAACTCCCTTACTGAGTTCAGAAATGTCACATGGCAACAGTCATGTTGAGACATGGGTCCCTTAACTCTGCTTGCTACACATCAGAGTTTACTAAGTCCACTATCACAAAGTCTGTCTTTCTCCTCTCCGGATGGTATTAAACTTCTTTGGTAACTAGATTACAGACACATAAAAGGAGGGGGCAGTTGGGCGTTGGTGGCACACACCTTTAATCCTAGAACTCCGGAAGCAGAGGGAGACGGATCTCGTGAGTTTGAGGCCAGCCTATTATACAAAGCAAGTTCCAGGACAGCCAGAGCGGTACTCTGTCTCGGAAAAACAACAGTAACAACACAACAAAAATAATAATACCAAGTAAAGTGAGACGATGGGTAGCAGGGACAAGCTCTTTAGTCCCTCCTTGGTTTGGGAATTCTCAGCCCTAGGCTACTGAAGTGCCTGGTACTCAGCAGTCGTAACAGTTCATAGGACCCGATACCCATGCCTGCTGGGGGCGAAGGTGGGTTGGGGTGGTGGAGCCTGAGGTCTTCAACAATCCATTCACCCCAAAACTCTGCGTTCAAGAGACTGTAAGATATACTCGGAGGTGGAGTGGTTCTGATTCGAGCGAATGAAGAAGGTGCCTTTCCTTTCTAAGAATTCCCTCTCTTTCTAGAACCCATTCTCCCTTAGAATAGTTATGTTTATTTTCCTGAACTATAATATTTCCCAGGCCGGCCACTGGCCCTGGGCCATCGAACAGCCCCCTGGGAAAAGTAGTTCGCTTTCGCTTTCACGTGAGTTCTCTTGGCCTGGTCTCCCAGCACGTCTCCTTCCCAGAAACATATTCCAGAGAGTTCCACAGGCACTGGTATGGCTTGCGAGGCAGGCCCTCGGAGGTCTCCTGGGGTCCAGCATCTCACGAAGGTCCGAGACCGCGGGACTACGAATCCCAGCAGCGCCCGCGTGCAGCAGTGCGCAGGCGTAGCCGCGCCTCACCACCCCTCCCCCTCCGCCAACTGCTCCCGTCGGTCCGTTCCCGTGTTCCCCCCATCCGTGCTAATGTACCCCCTCGGTCCCTGCGGCGCCTCCCACTCACCGATGACTCGTGGCGTCGGGTAGAGCCGCTGCGCCTTCTCCAGGAAGCGCAGCGCCCGCTCGGGCTGCTTGCTTTGGATGGCCTTGAGGGCGATGCTGATACAGCGCTCGGCTTCATCCTTGTTGGATTCCATGGCGGAACCCGAGCGCGGAACCAGGGAGGGGGAGGCCGGGCGAGCGAAGGGCTGCGCCAGCCGCCGGCGCGTCGCGGGGCAAACCGGCGCGGAAGGATGACATAACCCTCCGCCCCTCCTTCCCGGGATTTGAGTGAGGGTTGAACCCGGGCAGAAGCTCTACCGTATGTCTCTTAAGAAAGGAGCATTCGGTTAGGAGGTGCTGGAACCTGCGGGAGCTCTAGAGCTCAAATCCTGAAATTGAGTGCGTTCATGTTCTTGGTGGTAGCCTTTTGCATTCCAGTCCCCGTCTGTTAATCGAACAAATGTTTATCGAATACCCACTGTTTGTCAGATGCTCTTGTTTGAAGTGGCAGGGGTGTCAAAACAAAGCTCTGTCCTCATAGAGCTTTCGTGAGAGGAGAGAAGTCCGGTAAACGGATACATTCAGATAGTGACACGGTCAAGGAAAATAGCGAGAAGTAGGGAGATCGAGGGGAGGGGCTACTATTTAAAATAGTAGCTCATTTTACAGAATTCTGGAGAAATATATATATTGGACTGGAACTCTGTAGACTAGGCTGGCCTCAAACTTGCAGCGATCCTTCTGTCTGCTCTCCACATCTTACTAAATTCTGTATATATTTTGAAAACAGATTTTTGTATTTTTCTTTTCTGCTATAGTGGATGGATGTTCAGTGTCAGAGAAACAGATGACTTGCGGCCAATCAGCACATGCTTTGCCTGAATAATTAGAATTTCTGTTGTTACACCTGGTCCGTTATGCGACATGAGGAAGGAGAGGGACAACACTTATGGGTTCCAAAGGTTTTAATAATTTACCTCATTAGGGGGGTCACTGGTGCACTTCCAGACAAGGACTTGGGAGCTTTGTTTCTCCTGGAAGCCCCAAACGGGCAGAAGCCGGGTTTATAAGTACAAAAGTAAAACTGTTGTTGCCAAATTATAGTTACAATTTCTACCAATTAGAAATCAAAGACTTGTGTGTTCCATCATTGTCAACCAACATACAAAGCAAACTTTTCAGTCCAACCAATGAGACTCATTTGTTCTTTCTGTGGCTAGGAACAGTCATGTTTCTAGAGAACTAAAGATGCATAATGACTATTTCTATGGTTTAGGGAGGAGGTTGATCAGTCATTGGAAAGTTCCCAGCTCCCTTAGGGCTTGGGAACCTGAACTTTATTTTACCCTGAAGTCAACATGGCAGTACTCAGGCCAAGGTGCTTTTGCTAGTTCCTTTCACTGTGTTCTTGAACTGGAGAAATAGGGGAGTCTCAATTTGTTGGAAAGAATATTAAACATTTGATCTAGGGCAGATGCTTTGGTGATGAGGTAAACCATTAGGAGGTCATGCAAGTGAAGAGCATAGGGAATCAGGCTTAGCATGACCCTGGCTTTAATCCCCAGCAATGTCCTCTCCCCACCCCCAAATAGCAAGGAGCAGAGCTGGAAACCTAATTTTGGAAATGGACATGAATGCTTTTTTTTTTTTTTTTTTTTTTTTTTTTTATTCAAGATTTCTGTGTAGCTTTGGCTTTTTTGGAACTTGCTTTGTAGACCAGGCTGGCCTTGAACTCACAGACTGCTTCTTGCCTCTGCCTGCCAAGTGCTGGGATTAAAGGCATGTGCCACCACCACCCAGCCTGTGTGGTTTTAACAGGGGGTATATCATAACATTTTTTCACAGATGCAAATTAGAGAGGAAACAATTAGATATAAGATGTGGGATCTGGAGACACAGGAACACTTGGCCTTGGACAGACACATGCACACATTTTCAGGAGAGGCGGCCTAGTAGGTGTGGAGGCAGAGGCATTCGGAACCTTCTCTTCAGGTATTTTCTCAGGTCTCTAAGGAGCAAGGCTGTGTGTGTGTGTGTGTGTCCCAGAGTTCCCTTCACCAGCAAACTCTTCTTCAGAGTTTCTGTATCGAAGAAATCAACATCCTTTTCACAGGACAGTTCTGCATTTGAATGGATTGATGGGTTCCTAATGGGTTAAACACTGGACAGAAGAGCTTTCAAATGGTCCTTCCTGAGGTTTAGTGTCCATCTCCTGCTAAGTCTCTGAGTTCGCTTCTGTCACTTCCTGAGTGTTGGGAGCCCCTACCCCCTTCTGTTGACCATGGGTGCTTTAGTCTGTGAAAAGGATACTTAACTGGGGGCAACCTGCTTTTCAGGGTGTTAAGGATCTGGACTGTGACCATTCAGTTACTACCTGGCAAGCCCTCCCTCTTTTCCTTCACATGAAATGACAGAGTTTTATTTGAAAGTTCAATCTAGAGTCATTTGTTCTGACTCCTTGAGAGGTTGGCAGGTGTCTCAGTCACCATTCCACTGTGAAGACACATCACAACCACCGCAGATCTTAGAAGAGAAAGCCTTGCTTGCAGTTTTAGAGGCTTAGTCCAAGCTCATGCAGAGAGCATGGTGGCAGGAAGGCAGGATTGCTGAAGGCAGGAAGGCTGAAGATATCCCAGCCCTTTGGGGGGTGTGGGGGGGGGACAGAGAGAGAGAGAGAGAGAGACAGAGAGAGATTCACCATGTATCCCTGGCTGGCTTGGAACTTACTATGTAGACCAAGCTGGCCTTGAACTCAGAGATCTGCTTGCTTCTGCCTTCCCAGAGAGAGAGGGAGAGAAACACTGAGACAGATACAGAGAGACAGAGAGAGTGAAAGAGATACAGAGAGAGAAAGAGAGAGAGACTGGGCCCGGTATAGGCTTTTGAATCCTCAAAGCCCACCAGTGACACATTACCTCTAACAAGGCCAATACTCCTAAGCCTTCTCAAGGAGTGCTTCTCTTTGATGACTAAGTGTTTAAATATATGAACCTATGAGGGACATTTTCTTGAAATCACCACAGTAGGTCCTAATCAGTAAGGATCTGGAGAGGTGGCTGGGTATTCCTGTGGTGGATGTGAGTGGTCCTGAGCCAGGAGCTGTTTATGCCTCAGTTTCCCATTCTTCCCTCTGCTGCTATGCTTGGCTCCCTCCTCCTCCTACCTCTCTCTCCCTTTCCCTCTTAGTCCCTTCCTTCCTTCCTCTCTCCTTGACTCCTCTCCCTCCCTTTTGTGGTACGATGAACCCAGGGCCTCACCCCTAGTTCCTACCTGAACTGCTTCTGTCCTGACCTTGAGGGTTGGCCTAAATGGCCTCCTTGTTGTCCCTACTTTTGAGATCTCAGTCCAAAGCCTGAGAAGAGAATCCCATTCCTCAGTTCATGCTAAACATTTAGGTTCTTGGTTGTAGATTTTGTTTAAAAAAAAATGTGCTGGGTGGTGGTTGTTCACGCCTTTAATCTCAGTATTTAGGAGGCAGAAGCAGGTGGATCTCTGTCAGGTCAAGGCCAGCCTGGTCTATGGAGTGAGTTCCAGGACAGCTAAGGCTACACAAAGAAATTCTGTCTCAAAAAATCAAATCAAAACAAAACAGAAAGCCCAAATAAATAAATAAAATGTAAGGCTGGACGTGGTGGCTCATACTTGTATTAATACTATTACTTGGAAGGCTAAGGCAGGAGGAGTGCGGGGAGTTCAGGCCAGCCTGACCTACAGAGAGCCTGTCTCCAAAACAAGAACCCTGTCAAGGATGAACCCCCTTCTCTTGTAAATGCAGGTGCCCTCTCCCTGTAGGACAGGCAAGCCTCAACTTGCTGTGATCCTCCTGCTTCAACTTCCCAAATGCTGAAATTGCAGGCCTGTATACCATGGGTGAGACTGTCACATCACAGTTTTGTTCTGTGAGAAAACCTGAGAACTTTCCTGACCAGCTGGACTGGCCTCCACTGTCAATACCCAGAGGTCCCCGCAAAAGTTTCACCTCGACCTGCCACTGGCCCTGAAGCCACCCTTGTGAAAGGCTGCCATAAGTGCCAAGTCCATCTCCAACACATCTGACTGTAAAGTCCCTTTATTGGTCTGTTGCCCACCATTCCCTCCCCACATCTAAAACTTGCTCCTCACCCCAGTCTCCCTGCTCATCCTCAGCTATCCCCTCCATCTGCTCAATTCTCACTCATTCTTTAGGGCCCAGCAGGAAGCCCGCCACTTCTGTGAAGTGAAAAATTGAATTTAGTCATGTGTTTGTTCAGGAAGCCAGAACTTTAGGGATGAGCCACAAGGAAGGGTAGCCGCTGACCTCAGGGAGTCCAGACAAGGCAGGGAGATAAGGAGAAAATGACTGTGGGCTTGTGTGTAAACTCCAGAGGTGGTGCAGATGCCTGGGTGGTCCGTTCTGTCAGGGACTGGCAGCTGACTGGCAGCTGAGTGGGGTCTAAAGCTGAGAAAGTGCTTTCTTTTTTGCAGAAGCCTCTCTGCTTGGAATTATATCATGTAAGCTTGGGCCCATCTAGGAGTCACCTCCCCTGCCTTGCCCAGTTGGCATGTGAGTCTTTATACCCTACTTTCAGGAGACCTTAACCCAGTTTCTTCCTGGCCTGAGCACAGGACCTATCAGATTTACTTTGGTTCCTGGTTTCTGTATGTTTGGCTTGCTCCATGGCTGTGGTCTGTGTCATCTCGATAGAGGTATAGGGATACTTCACTTTATGATATCCAGGAAGAGAGGGTGGAGAAGAGGGAAGGAAAGACAGACAGACTCATCACAGACCTGCCCTCAGTGATCTACATTTTCCAAACAGGCCTCACAAAGTCACATGGTGGTGACACATGCCTTTGATCCCTGCAAGTGGGAGTCAGAGGCAGGTGAATCTCTGTGAGTTCGAGGCCAGCCTGGTTTACAGAGTGAGTTCCAGGACAGCCAGGACTACACAGAGAGAAATCCTGTCTTGAAAAACAACAAAAAGTCCAAACAAGCCCCATTTCCTGACAGTTCATTCAGGAGGAACTTAGCAGTGGTGACAGACACCCAGTGATAAGTTATTCTTTCATGAACCTTAGTAACACCACAAGTTGGGGACCAAGCTGGTATTAGGGGACATTTTGTATCCAAGCATTTCCTTTCATAAAATTGTGGGATCAAAATCTCACCATCAAGACTCTGGTTAAACTACAGCATACATCAGCAGACAGGCAGACAGGGCAGAGGAGATTGTGGGCATGGGGTTATAGGTCTGGGCTCCAAATCCACCAGAATTCAGTGTAACACTTGCAAAAACAAAAATAGTTTTGGAGGCTATGAAGTCTATGCTCAAACTTGTGATACTCCTGCTTTACCCTCCCGGGTGCTGGGATTAGAGGCACAGGTCATCTCACTTGGCAAATCAGTTATTTGTAGAGTAGACTCTGTGCACCTCTGAAACTCCACACTGGCCCACATTCTCTGGATGCTGGTGAGGGACAGGTACACAGCAGTCATACATCTACCAAACTTGGGCTGTCCCTTGGCTGGCCCATCATATGTAATTTTTAAATTCAAAGTCTGATTGTTTTAATCTCTATCCAGGGAGACAAGGAACAGCTATCAGCATCACACAGTTGGAAACTGACCCTGCAGAGTTCATGTTTTAATGGTGGGTGGCCTTGAAATTGGTAGTATATCATTTCTTTGGGAGACTCCTAAGCCAAACCTCCATTTTCAACACCTTCCCTGGGGTCGGACCCTTATAAACGGGCTACCTACAAGACACTTCCCTCTTGATATCTTTCAGGCACCTCCATTTTCCTTTTCAAATATTTAGGTGCCACAAGCTTCAGATGCCCTGGAACTATAGCTCCACACAGCTGCCATGTAGTTGCTGGGAACTTTGAGAACACATGCTCCTAACTTCTGAGCCACCTATCTAGTTCCAACCTCCACATTCTGAAAAATGGCTCATCTTCTGCCCAATCCAGAGTCTTGTCTCAGCTTTGCAGGCCACGAAGAACAACAACATTGTTACCCAATCACAAGTCTGGTTTCATCCTAAATGACTAACAACTTAGCTATCTTTCAAGCTCCATGCTGCATGCTTGGCCCTCCTCCAGTCAAATGATTCTGTGAGCTTACCTTTCCCAAACCTGTTAACTTCTTCCTATCTCTGCAGCCTGATACAGACTTCTAGGGGGACTTAAGACTCACTGTGGATTCCACTGAAGTCACTTAATGCCTCTCAAAAAACAAAACAAACAAACAAACAAACAAACAAACAAAAAACCCCTGACCATTCAAAAATGCAGGGCTGGTCTCTGGGAGTGCAGCCCACTATACAGGTCTTGGCTGCTATATGCACAAGGTGACAGGTTCCAACCTTAGCACTGAAAACATTAAGTATAACATAGAGTTTATTTAAGTATTTTCCTACTTAAAGCCCTCAGTGGCTCCTAGTTATCATTAATAGGGCCCTTCTAACTCCTTACTGGGGATTACAGGGTCCCATTTCTCCCCTTATGAGGCCATCTGTGATTGGTACTTTTTTTTTTTTTTTAACGATTTTTTTATGTACTTTATGTATATGGGTGTTTTGTCTGCAGGTAGATTTGAACACCAGAAAAGGGCATCAGATTCCAGATTCTACAGTTATAGATGGTTTGAGCCACCATGTGGGTGCTAAGGATTGAACTCAGGACCTCTAGAAGAGCAATCATTCCTCCAGCCCCAATGTCTGGCACTTTCTGTTATAATTTTTATGAATTAAATTTATTGTGGCTAGGCTTCTTGGATTTTCCCCCTATGTCTGTCTATCTGGTAAGATATTGTCTGGGAAACAGTAATTTCAAACTATCGGCACAGAGTTGCTCATAGTAATTATTTTTTTAAGCTGTTTATTATTGGTAACTATGCATTTATCATGTCGGGGACGTGGATGAAGTTCAGTTGGTAGAGTGCTTGTCTAGTATGCAGGAAGCTACGGGCTCAGACTTATATAAAACTGGGTGTGATGGCACATGCCCGTAACCCCAAGTTTCTTTAAATGTGTGTTACTTTCTGTGTGTCTGTGTGTTCAGGCACAAGCTCTACTACCTGTATGTGGATGGAGGACAAAGGAAAATCTTGGGTGTGAGTTTTCTTTGCCATCTTGAGACAGGGTCTCTCTTGTTCACTGATGCATATACCATGAGAACTGGCTCCTGGGCTTTGCAGGACTCTGTCTCTCCCCCTCCCCCACCTGGAGACTCACTTGGAATTAGAGGCTCTTGTGCTGTTGTGTCCTGAGGGTCCAAACTGAAACTCAGGTTGCCAGGCCTGTGTGGCAAGCGCTTTGCCCACTAAGCCATCACCCCACCTCCCTATAATCTGTTGAAGCAGGTGTGCAGCATATTGTCAACCTGCCTTCTGTAAGGAAGAATGGAAGTTTCTATTTATTTATTTGGGATAGGGTCTCTCTAAATAGCCCTGGCTGTTCCAGAACTCACTATGTAAACCACAGCTAGCCCAAGAATGGACGTTTCTTAATTTCCCTTTAGTTGTGTCCTTTTTCATGGTGCTAGGAACCAAACCTAGGACACCATGCATACTAAGTTCATGCTGTCGGTGAGCTTCCCCCAATTCCGTATGTGGAAACCCAGAATTATATTCAGTTCTGAGCATTGGGGTATGCTAGTGGTTGAAAGGAGGAGCTCAGGAATGTTGACACAAGCTCTACCACTGAGTTATGTCCCCAATCTCAAATGTTCCTCATGATTGTTACTTTCTATGACCACTGTCTTCATTCCCTCTCTTTTGTTTGAGACAAAGTTTCACTATCTAGTCCAGGTTAGCTTTGAACTCAAAGTGATCCTTTACCCAAGCCACCTCCCACCACCACTCACAGTTCTGGGATCACAGACATGTGCTACCACACTTGGCTCCCTATTGTAATTCAAAATAACTCCCTAATTCATGCTAGGAACCCTGGACTCCAGTTTCCAGGATGGACCTGGCTTGTGGATCTCTATATGTTCAGTCTCTGCCTGGCTGTCATGCTTTTCAATCTCAGGAACTCCTGGGTCTATTTAAAACAGTCTATTTTTAAAAAATATGTATTTAACTTTATTTTATTTGCATTGGTATGAAGGTGTCAGATCTCCTGGAACCAGAGTTACAGTTTTAAACTGCCGTGTGGGTGCTGGGATTTGAACCTGGGTCCTCTGAAAGAGCAGTCAGTGCCATCTCTCCAGCCCTAAAAAGTCTATTTAAGTAGGGTTATTTAAATAACAGGGTTATTTAAAACAACAAACAGACAAACAAACAAACAAACAAACTCAAATCCCACTTCTGCAGGCCTGTGAGTGGACAGGTTGGGATCCGATGGCCAACCTACTTCTGTGTCCTTAGGAACCTATTGCTTCATCCCGTTTTTTCTCTCTAGGACGTACACCCCTCGAAGACCTTGCTCAATGCCTGGTCCACAGCAGCTGGTCAGTGAAAATGGCATCGAATAGTGAGAACAGCACACATTCATGTTCTAAAGCCAGAGACCAATCACAAATATTCTTCCCTCTCTCAACTGCAGTTGGATCCTTCCTGGTTCCTTCAGGCCTGCTGGCAAACTAGACTCCCTGCACTGACCCATTCTGCCAGCAGGTGGCACTGGAAGCCCACAGCTGAACCAGCCCCTGCCACTGCCTAACTTTTCTGGGAGGTCCCATGGCTCCCATGGGCTTGGTCTGTTTAGGACTTGCAGCTCCTGGGCCCATGATGTTCCCTGTGTGGCAGCAGCCATTGTCCACATCTCTCCTTTTTCTAGGGTGTGTTTCAGCCATAGCTGAAAGTAAGTGGGACACTAGAAGCAATTACAATGATTTTTAAAACCATGGCACATTCTTAAATCCCCTTTGCTTAGCAACAGTCTCTAGGATCTCTCTCATCTCCTTGGATCACACTGAATCTCAGGTTCAGGAAGCCCAGCACCTCCCACCCCCCCAAAGGAGGAGAAATAAATACCACACCTAGATGAACTTCTGGAGAAGGGAATCATGGGAACGGGCAAGCATGAATTCTGGGACAAATTTAAGACATGCTTACATTGCACTGATGCCTCAGGCTTAGAGCAACTAGCATTGCAAAGCCTGTACTTTGGTGCCAGGCAGAGGGGAGGGGGCAAGGCGCTTAAGGAAGCAGCCGATTGAGTGGAGAGTAAAGCTGGCCTCCTGGAAGTGGGGGCCCTAGGGGGAATGCTGGCCTCTGCTTTCCTGTGCAGGTGAAGACAGAGGCCCCAGCTCTCCTGCTGCCCAATAACCCTGGCCATGTTCTGAGTTAGGGTGGAGTGTCACACCAAGGCAGAGCCTGGAGGTTCTGGACAGCTGAAATTGAGGCTCATGGGAAGGAACTTAGGGCCCATTCAGCTCAACCTGCCATTTAACAGCTGAGGGGACAGATGGGGGAATGCCTAGCTCAACACCACACCGAGGGAATGGTAGAGCTGATTACCAGAGGACAATGTTCTGAAAATGCAGGTCCACCATGTGTGTTCCAGTCCCAAATGAAACATTACTCCATCTGGGCAGGGACAATGCCACCTTAATGTCAGAGCACCCTCACTTTTGTCCTTGCCTCAAGTTGCCTTTATGAGAAAACCACAAATCTGGCAAGGAGGACAAAACAAAGGGCCCAGAGGAGAGGCCTAAAAGAAAGGACACAAGAGCTCTTGGGGTATTTACTGCAAACTGCTATAATTAAAGTGATATTTTATGAGTGTTTTAGACAGAGGGCAGATGGGCTCTGAGCTGGGTCTGGGCATTGCAAGCCCATACAGAGGGGAGGTGGCACTGGAAGGAACTGGAACTCAGCCACTGTTGCCAGTGAAGCAAAGTCCCTGAGGAGGCGTCCCAGGGAGCCTGGGAAGGAAACGAGGGAGCAGAAAGGACCATGAAGCAGCTCCTTTGAATCTGGAACTCTCTGGGAGCACAAGGCCTTCCTGGCATGGCCTGTGTCTGACACAGACCTTCTGACCAGGCCTCCAGGCAGCTCAGGGCCAGGGTTGGCTTCATTATCATTCATCACAGACCTACTCTTGCCTGCCAGAGTATTTTCAAACTTGCAGCTTGAAAACAGCAGGAGGAAGAGCAGGGGGATGTTCTTAATATAAACCCACAGTGAGAGAGCCTGGAGAGGGAGCCTGGAGAGGGAGCCTGGAGAGGGGGGTGCTCCCCAGGGCTGGCTCCCTGCATTCTTTATCCATAGGGCAGTTGTTAAATGAGCTAAGGTCTCAGCTTTGAAAACTTGTCCATGTTTTTTTTTTAGAACCTTTGATCTGACTGCAAATTTGTTGCCTAGCAGAACTCTGATGGGGTCAGGGAAGGTGGAAAGGGAAGCCCACTGAACCCAGAGGTCACTCCCAGAAAGGTGGGGGTTGCACACTACTCCCAGAAGCAGCAGCAGCAGCATGAAGGGCCACTCCACGGCATCCAGGGTGCTAGGATGCAGGAGGTGGAACACTATTTGGGCAGAGCAAAGTCCCAGGCAGTTTCTTGCGCACATTTCCACATAGCCTGCATGAGACGAGTGAAGCCCATGTCCTTGGGCTTCTCCAGGCCTCTCATCAGCCGCTGCTTCATGATGGAAACAAACTCCTTATTGCTCAGCTCCCCATTGCCTGGAGGATGAGGAAAAACAGAGGTGTAAGTGGAAATTCTGGGAGAAAATTCTATCCCTCACACCCTGTAGGCTCTGCGGCCCAGCAAGTACTCAGCCAAGTTCAACTTTCTTGGCTTAGGGTGAACTGCTCTGTCTTTCCTTGATGTTTCCAACCGTAGCTCACTGACAGAGACTAGAGCAGACGTATGTGAGAACAGAGATGGATGAGCTTTGTGCGTTGGTGCCTGGAACATTCCCAGGTTGCAGGAGAGACACCTGACATCAATGGTGAGGTAAGTGCTACTGTGGGGCAAACAGAGGATGCTGTCTTACATGGAGCAGTGTGGTTGCTAGAGAACTTCAAGTAGCAAAGTACTAGGACCCCTTGGGGTGTGGATATCTGGAAGGTGTTCCTGCTGCCTTTTACCTGGCCATCCTACTCTTGGCCTTGGAACCTTTACTGATCTGGCCTTACACATTCTCTCCAAGCTGGACTGGACTCAAATTATCTCTTAATTTTGAAAATTCTATGTGCTCGAGTGTCTGTCTGCATGTATGAGGACATGTGTGTGCCTGGTGCCTGAGATGGTCAGGTGGTGGATCTCCTGGAGCTGCTATGAGGGTGCTGGGAACTGAACCCTGGCCCTCTGCAAGAACAGCAAGCTCACTTCCCTGTTGAGCCCAGTCCCTTCTCTCTCTCTCTGTTCTCAACACCTGACACAGGCCTTCACATCTACTACATTTTGCAAGGACAGTCAAGCCATCTTCTTTCTAGTGACACGGAAACATGTGTACCTCTCATCTACTAGCAGCAAACACTATGTATCTAGTATTTTTGCTTATTGTCAAGGAGAAATTACATTTCTTTGGGGATCATCAGGATTGCCATTTGCTAATGTGGTTCCTGTTGTCATTTTGAGAGCCACATGGTCACTAATTTAAACCCATAGGCAAGGTGGAATTACATACAGTAAATGGAAAACATACTGTGTGTGGTAGTACGCTCCTTTAATGCTGGCACTTGGTGAGGGAGGCAGAGGCACGTAGATCACTGAGTTTGAGGCCAGCTTGGTCTACATAGTAAGTTCCAGGCCAGCCAGGGTTACATAGCGAGATCCCATCTCAGCAAAACAAAATAACAACAACAACAACAACAACCAAAACAAACCCAAAAGAAGTGGAAAATACAAGCTGGGGCCCAGGGTAGCATCTGTGACTCTCACAGTGCCAATGGCCAAGCTGCTCATATGCAACAGCCCCGCTATGAACAAGGTCTAGGAATACAGTGAGGTCCAGTGCATCCTCTACACTCCATAGGAGCCCACTCACCATCACAGTCAAAGAGTGCAAACACCACGTCACACACGTGGTCCGAGAGTTCCACTTTCGCCACCGTCCTGGCCACTTGCTGCATGGTCACTGAGAGGAGAAAGACGCTAGGTTAGTGCTGCACAGACTGCTTTATTCTCCTTTCTCCAGAGTGGGGCTAAACCACTCAAAACTGCGGCTGTATTTAGGTCATATTTGAGAAAATAAGGTCAGCTTTAGGGAGTGCACACCTGTAATTTCAGCTTGTGAGGAAGGAGAATCAATAATTTTGGGGCAGCAGGGTTACACAGTAAGAATCTATGTCAAAACTACAACCAGAGTTCAAGGCCATGTTGGGGCACTGAGACAATCTCAAACTACTCAATGGGCTGAGCGTCTGTGTTCACAGTGATAGAGCACATGGGCAGCCTGTGCCAGGCCTGGTTTTAAGTCTCAATGCCCAGCAAATAAAATAAGGAAGAAAAGAAAATGTAAATTTAATTTTTAACTCCCTTTCCTTATACAGCAGGGTTTGGTTTTTGTTTTGATTTTCAAGACAGGGTTTCTCTGTGTAGAACTGGCTGTCCTAGAACTCATTCTGGACCAGGCTGGATTTGAACTCACAGATATTCACCTGTCCCTGCCTCCCAAGTGCTGGGATTAAATGTGTGCACCACCACTGCCCAGCCTTAAGGCTCTGTTCTTCTGTATTGCTGCTACATGTTAAGAGGCATGAAGTAAAAGGACAGCTGATACTGCGAGCTGCAAGGTGGCACATAATCCCAGCACTCAGGAGCTGAGACAGGAGAAATAAGAGGTTAAGGCTAACTGAATCTCAAAAAATAAAAATAAAAGAGTGTCTGATATGGGGGGGCTGGAGAGATGGCTCAGAGGTTAAGAGCACTAGCTGCACTTCCAGAGGCCCTGAGTTCAATTCCCAGCAACCACATAGTGGCTCACAAGCATATGTCATGAGGCCTGGTGCCCTCTTCTGCAGAACACTGTATACAAATAAATAAATCAATCTTTAAAAAAAGGAATGTCTGATATAAAATTCATAGACAGAAAGTGGATGACCTAAAAGGTCCGGGACTTTAGAGCTTAATGGGCACAGATTTCTCTACACGTGGGGGTCAGAAGTCAAGGCTGGGTATCTTTCCATGTTGGTTCCCACCTTATTTTTTTGAGACAAAGTCTCTCACCAAATCTAGAATGCACTGATTAGGCCAGGCTGACTGGCCACTGAACTTCAGGAATCCCCTCCCTGCTTCTATCCCCTCCAACCCTTCCCTGTATTGAACTTACAGATGGGCACACTGTGTCCTGGTTATTTAATTATTTATTTTTCCTTTGAGACAGGGTCTCACTGGGTAGCCCTAGTTGGCTGGAACTTGCTATAGAGAGACCAGGCTGGTCTGGAACTTGTTAAGTAGACCAAGCTAAACCCAAACCCACAGAGATCTGTCTGCCTTTGCTTCCTGAGTGGGGATCAAAGACTTGTGCCATCATGTCCCACATGGGTCCTACTTTTTATGTGGATTAGAATTTGGATACTGGGTTCTGAACTCAGGTCCTCACCCTTGCATGGGAGGCAGGCACTTTTCCATCTCACCAGCCCCAGGCAACTTTATATTAATACATTTCTATCTGAAGGTTCCCTTCAAGCTGGGCAATCATGGTGCCCACCTTTAGTCCCAGCACTCGGGAGGCAGAGGCAGGAGTATTTCTGTGAGTTTAAGGACAGCCTGGTCTACAGAGCTAGTTTCAGGACAGGTAGAACTGTTATACAGAGAAACCCTGTCTCAAAAAAAAAAAAAAAAAGCTTCCTTCAAAACAGACCCATAGCTACAGTTTCCTAGAACTTCAACAATAAGGTGGCAAATGTTGCCAAGGTACGACCAGGAAGTAGGAGGGGTGGGGCACAGCAGGAGGTTTGTGTGTCTTAGTTCCCAGCCACAGACTGTGATCTGCATGATGAGGTCTTTGCTCCTCTAGCTATTTCCTACCTCAGTGCTCCCAGGCCCCTCCCTGCTGCTCCAGCCACACCCTTTAAGTTGCACCCCTGGAGAAGCAGGGCACCCTGTCTCACCAGACCAACACACAGCTTTTGCTTAATTTAATTTTATTTTTTTTGACCTCAGCAGAGAAGCTCTCTTCTCTTTCCATTTTCCTTCCCTGACATTTACTATGAAATACTAGCAATCATGTGGAATTGGTTTTCCATGAAAGACAAGCCAAGAAGAACTAGGCAATTTCCGCTGTCTTCCCTCTCATTTATCCTCATGCCTGGCCTGCCCATGCTATAAATTATGATACTGCCTACAGACCAACCCCGAAGTGAAGGAAAACTTCCAGGAAAGAAAAGGGGCTGGAGCCAGTGCACTCCTTTGATGCCAGTACTGGGGAGGCAGAGGCAGGTGGATCTCTATAACTTCGAGGCCAGCCTGGTCTACAAAGCTATAAAGAGAAACCCTGTCTCGACCCTTCCCCCACAAAAGAAAAGGGGCTGGAGAGATGGCTCTGTGGTCAAGAGCATTGACTGTTCTTGCAGAGGACCCAGCTTTGATTCTCAGAACCCACATGGTGGTTCACAAACATCCATAACTCTTGTTCCAGAGGGTCTATCTGGACCCCTCTTCTGACTTCCTTGGGCACCAGATGCACACAAAGTACACATACATACTTGCAGGCAAAACATTCATATTCATAAAATAATAGATCAAGAAAGAAAAGAAAGGACTGCGTTCAGTGTATGGACTAACTTGTGCAACCATTAGCCTACACTCCACAGTGGCACTATGGGTAGTGTGCCAATGGCGGTAGTGTGCCTCTGCTATTTCACACTTCAGCATCAGTTCCTCTTACCAGTTTGCTTTTTCCTTTTGCACCTGTCACCTCCTTATGTATTCAGCACACCACCTCCAAGGTCAGCAGACACTGACACCATGGTAGGGCAGCACAGCACTGGGTGTCGTGAGACCCAGCTCTCCGTGTGGCACCCTTATGGAGCTGCTTGTGGCTTAGGGTTTACTTTTCTCACATTCAAATCAGGAGAGGCCAATGTGTTTTTTGAAACAGAAAGATTTAGGTAGAAGCGTCTGTGGTAAGTTTTCATGTGCCAGGGCTGGTCAAGACTACAGTGCTGAGCTGAGAAATTGGGCCTTGCAGGAGAACTGATTGCTGCTAACTCAACTGTGTGGAGGAAGAGGAAGAGAGAAGGAAGAAGGGGAAGAAGAGGAAGAGGAGGTCAAAAGGCAATTTGCAAGACTGCCAAAGGAGTTAAAATGATGAAAGCTGTTCTTTACACTTCATGATGGAGACATCTCCTGAGGAAACTCAGCTGACTTTAGGAAATTGCTCAGGGATAACAGGATTAGAGTGGGTGGTCCCTTCATGGCCACAGAGGAGTCCTTCGAAGGGCCTGAGAATCTCATGTGTGCTAGAGTGCGCTTTCTGCTGACTGTACCATTTTCTACATTTCACATCAATATGTTTCAATGCTCTAACCTTCCTGCTTTGCTCCTGAGTCTTCGTTCTCTCAGGGTAGAATGTCTTGTTTTAAGTCTCATCTTTCTCCCATGCAGATAGCACTCTGCCCTAATAAAGCAGTAAGCCATATCCCAGGATGTCAGTGAGAGCTCTTGACAATTTCCATGGAGCAGCTTGTAGAATAGGGACTCCTGGAGGCTGCAGCAAGAACATCTCATTACAAAGGCCACCCTTCACAGGGCACTTATAGATTATGCTCCATTCCAGCCTGAGAAGGCGCTAGTGGTCTGTATATTACCAGGGCTAAGTCCCTGGGGATGGGAATAGTCTTGTTGGGGTGCCCTTTTTTACAGCACAAGATCCTTGAAGAGGCCCCCAGGGTATGAACAACAACAGGACAGAACAAACCAACTAGCTGGTGAGCTGTCAAGCTGGAAACTCTTGGGACAAGTGGGATGACAGCAGATTACAAGCCAAGTGCTTGACAGCTGCTCTGGAGAGCAGACTCATTCAGTTGCCAACCTCTCTGAATCACACTAGTTAAACCACAGTGAAGAGAACTTCCCCACACTCCTGGGCCTCCAGTGCTGACCTGTTGGTACTGCAATTTTGGCTTCTATTTGTGATTCTGAAATACATACTTGTTCTCTTGTGATGGCTAATTTCCATTGGCAACCTGCTGGTATTTAGGATCACCATGGAATAAAATCTCTGTGCATATCTGTGAGAATGTTACTAGGTTGAGATGAAAAGGCCCACCCCAAATGTGGTCAGTATAATTAATTCCCTGGGCTGTGGTCTTGAACTGAATAAAAAGAAAGTGTACTGAGCATAAACAGTTGTTCCTCTGCTTCCTGAAGGTAGAGCCAATGCTACCCCAAGCTCCCATCACCTGCCATGATAGACTGCACCTTCAAGCTGAGCCAAAATAACCCCCTCTTCCTTCAATGTCTTCCCTTTCCATACTTTCATTTTGTATATTGTGGTCCATGCATGGAAGGCAGAGGTGAAGTTATGATGTTGAACATTCTGCTCTATTACTCCTTATTCTCTTGAGGCAAGACCTCTCACTGAACCTGGAGCTAGGCTGGTGGCCAGGAAGCCCCAGCAATCCAATCCTCCAGTTGTATGCCTGACCATGTCCAGCCAAATTATAATCCAAATTCTTGTGCTTGCATAGCAAGTGATATTACTCATTGGCTTCCTCTCTGGCCTCTTAAGTTTCTTTTGACAGGAATTTGTCATATAGATGAGACAAGTAACTAAACCAGTCTTTTAAGTTTTTTTGACATAAGTTCTAGTATCCTTGCCATTGCCAAAGTGGTGTTATCTTTTGTGTGTTAATGACTGGTGACAATAGCACACGGGTAGTTTCAAGGTGGATGAAGATCACAGGAAAGACAAGTCTTGGGATTTTCTAGCTATGTCCTCTAACCCACTGAGCTGGCCCCAATGGCTAATGAGTCATGCAGTCATGCCTGTGTAACGAAGCCCCTGAGACTCTCGGAGCACAGCGTTGGAAAGCTTCCAGACCACTGGTACATGGAGGTTCCTGAAGGATGGTGGGAAGATACAGAAGCTCTGTGCTTCTCTCCCCAAGCAGCTGGAGCCTCTGAAACAAA